GTGGTATTTAAGGTAAGCGATGCATACAGCCAATGACATTACTTAGAATTTGTAATTAAATAATGAAAATATCCTAGTACGCTGCCCTCCAATCAAAGTTGCATTTGCTTCATAATCAACAAGCAGAGACCTAAATTTGCACTTGCCATGGAATGTGCCCATGCTCTACGAAGACCACTGCTAAAATTGCCTTTAGCGGGCCTTCAATTTGATGACATCTCATCCATTAGGAGGACTATCCAGAATCCTTGTTTTCTCTCTACGAAATACCTTCCCATGAATGATAGGGATGAGATGGTTTCTATTCTGTCGGGTGGTTTTCTGATGGTTAGTCTAGCTTCCGCACAGTCGTTTGGTCTCTTCCCTATATTCCATAATTTCGCTTCATGTTTCTTTGTCGTCGGATTCGACAATAAAACCATTCTCAACTAAAGTCACGTTTTCCTAAATCTTATACACACATACACCACCTTAATTTCTTGCGTAACGTGCCAAAGTATGATTACTATCCGTTCTCTGAGTTATGTTGGTGGATTTTCATATTCATTGCATTGAAATGCTGCCCCATAGAAAACAAAAGTGGTTTGAACCCGCGGCAGTCTTCTGTGACGCATTACGAGAAGGTTAAATCGCAAGTTGAAATTTGTATTTCTAATATTCTGCCAGTACGCAGGGGTACAAACGGAACCACACATCTATTTGAATCCAGTTTTCAAGCGTGGCAAAATATTATGCCAAGTTGTAGAACAGCTTCGAGGAATGAAAACAATGGTTCAACAATGAATATTTGTTTGATAGGGGGGATCCAACAAGCCCTCATTACCTAGGCAGCTTCACTGGCCAAAGCCTTAATATTCTGCGAGATACCGAATCGACTCTTGCCATTGAAAGACCATTATTCATTGCAGCAACTTACGATAATCTTATAACGACTGTACTGAAGGCATAAATGCATATGTTAACGGAAGCAGTATTTTTTGCATTTAATCTCGACCAACCTTGATCACTTCCGAGAACAGTCAAAACGTGCATGGTTCCACGGGAGCACCCTTTGGCTTGTCGTAACATTGCCTTTGACAACCCTTTTCGAAAAAATAAAATGTTTACTGCCTAAAAATTGCTGCTGCAAACTTTCGCAGCTCGAACTTATGGCGACATAAGTCTGTCAGCATGGATGCCAATGCTAATTTCGGGTGTTTCAAGATGTTGCGTCGACGATATAGCAGGAAATACTCGGGAAAAATATGAGACTGAAGGAAAAAGACTTCGGTGTCTCGACCAGGTTGTGGTTGTGGCGTTTGTGCATGCGTGTTTATAACTCAGCCAAGCGTATGCAGTGTGATTCGTAGATATCGTAACACGGAGACCTAGCGTAGTTTTTTTTACACGGATAAACATTCGCGCTAATCGGGGTGTGAGCATAATGGGGGTGACCAAGGGTGAAATGTGGTGACGGTTATCATTCCCCTGCATTCATCACAAATTTATGCTAGTTTTTATTGGCAACACATGAATTTTACGTAAGTCCCATCTTTCATCATTTGAAAAACATCGCTTGTGGTTACTTGTGCACTGCGATAGTCGGGTCATGTAGTGTGGCGTCGGATTAGGGCGCAGAGATGTTGGACCACCTGGCCTCAGCCAATCCTGTGTCTCTCTGCGATCCAATGGCATGCGGGAAAGGAAGGCAGCCAACCAGAGAAGGACACGGATGAGGTGCAGTATATAATGAGCGGCGTGGCCAGCGTGGGGGACTCGGATGGAAGGCGCCTGACGCGTGGATCTGGCTTCTGATTGGTCAATAAAGCCTGTTCTGTTGTACCGGTCTTTTACCTATTAGGGCTCGGGTATTCTACAGTAGTTGTATTGAAGCACGTTTGTTTCACCAGCCTCCTTTGGCCTTGAGGTTACCCCTCGATACTCACAGTATGGAAAGAAAATTCAAAGTGTCAAGGCAAAAATGGCATTGAATTTGCCCACTTTGCAAAGTGTGTCATTGTATTGGGTGTTTGATCCCTGTAAAAAGAATCATCAACAGTGATTAGAATGCTCAATGAGAATCATACATGCTAATCATCTTATGTTAAGCGGATTTAAAAATCAAGGGACAAGACGCCTCTGGAAGCGTATGAAAAACTTTTTCATTGGTTATCACTCATCAGGTGATAGGGACAAGATCTTTTATTCAAAATGTCACAGCTTTTGGTGGAAGGTAACTCTTCCCAGGACGTAGTTCAGTACCAAATTAAGACATATATCGGACTTCTATAACTACTATACAAATGCTTCTCCGCATTCTTAGTTAAGATCTACCACTAGATGATGTTGTACCTCCCTTACTGATCTCTTGTACTGGGGATAAACAGGGGATTGGACTCTAAGTTTTAAACTTAATCTTCATGGAAGGACAACCGACATCACTTGGGGTAATTTTCAAAAGTTTCTGTCTTGAACAGTGCGTTTTTTGCTAAATTACTGTCTGTTTACTTTTATCGAGAGCTTTTGATGACCATTAACTACTAACCGTCCTATTTATGCCAAATGTTTTCAGATTGTGAACAAAATCAATTTGACAGAATGACTCCAGTATTTGTAGAGTTCTGCTATGCCTGTGAAACAGGTAATAAGGTAGATAAAATCGCAATATTACGTAAATGCCCGAAACTTTAATTGACTATCAGGTTTTTCTTGACCTCTAGCCACAATCCGACCTCGTGGTTAAATGGAATTTCAGTAGATTATTACCTACACTACCTCATTGCTTAAAGTTCAGCCGCAAACCATTATCAAATCATTATAACTGATCAGCTTATCAGTTCCGATCCCCTACTACTTCTGCAGCACATACACCTTTGTAATTAATCAGATTTACAAATAGCTTATTTGAGCAGGTGGTCAATGACTTTGATTGGTGGCTTATGTACTCGGTATCACAACCTTAAGTAATAGCACATCTTCATTGGGACCAAACACATTTCGGTAGAATGCACACACACCACTGCCTTTGCTGTATTGACTCCCCATCCTTACGAAAAACCCATATTTGTAAATATGGCTAACCGCTAACTAATGGTAATTGTAATACAGCATCGATCCCGTATTTTTTAAGGTTAAAAAATGTTCTTCTTAGACTGAAAAAAAAACATAAAATGTCTGCTTTAAACGACAGACTAATGGATACAATAAAATAAATCTTAAGAAAATAAGTAGCGTTTAAGATATCCTTGTCATTCGTCAGGCAAAGACCTGATTATTCAAGAGTAGATCTCAAACTATGCCCGTATACTTGAATTATGTTATTTGTATCCTAGCTTGGGTGCAAAAATTTATTTGGTGTCAATGAAGCCGTGGGGACCTTTATCCCTTATTTGCTTAAAAGTTCTGTAGTAAATTTAGTATATTTTCAGTAGTATTAAAAACCGGTTGTAACAGCATATATATATATCTAAGATTTGATGAAAAATAAAGATCCTAAATCACATTACCTTATTGGTATGTAACCCAAACTATTGACTTTTGAAACTGACTTTTGGTGAAATTCTCTGGCTATTTGTTGAAATCCTATATTTTTTTAGACTAGGGAGGTTAGGTGCAAAAATCAGCTAAATAAAACATTATGAAATCGATTCCATTGTCCAAATTGGTAATGTGATCTTGGCCAATGTAGGACATCCAACACTGTCCTCTACTGGAGTAATCTTTTATCATTTCCTTACAGGGTGTTACAGGATCAGACCCATGTATTGCACATCAATTACAAGAATGACTTCTTGATAGTGAATATGCAATGGGTAGGCATAAAAATTTAACACCCTTGGCTGCCTGCTTTAGTCGTTTTAGCAATTATGACAATTTGTTTACTTGTGTTATTTTTAATTTCTTTCCTAACGATAGGCTAGACCTCAACTTCGCTACCATGTAGTACTTACTTGGACTTTAACACAAATAAACAGTTCTTTCGAGGCAACTCACAAAACATTAGCCGTTTAATGAAATTAATTAGTGAATTCAAAAACACAGCATAAATGGCTATTTGTTACAGTAATGGTACCAATGCTTCTATCGTATTAATTAGCAAAGCCTTATATTACTTAAGCCGCATTTTGTTGATAACGCTACAGCGAATCGCACGCATCAAAGATATTACATTAATGTAATAATAGAAGGGCCAGTTTACTGAGAAATGGGTCTTTAGTTTTCGGATAGCGTTAGTGATCGGCTTTAGGTTGTGGGATTGATACGTCATTCGTCACTAAACATATTTCTTTCTATTAAACCAAAATGTTAATAGACTGGAATGAATAATTTTTTAGTGAATATCTTAGGTTTTCTTTATTTGTCTATTAGATATTTTCTGTCGTCTAGAGAGAAGAAATTTTTATAATCAACTTCAGCACTCCATTCTTTATCATTGATTTCAAGTAGTATAGACTTAGGCACATGCATGTAACCAAATATAGTCCCAAATTTGCGTAAATTTGCAGAGTTAAACTTATTCTTAAAACACACTATATAAATTTGCTAATGCTGCATATTACCAAAAAGTGAATTTGCAAAGGGACTTGAGAAAAACTAAATTATATTTCTTACAGTTTCCCATAAATGCTGTAAAAGTAAAACGGCTGCATGGCGAATAAAATGCATCTATTCCAAATACAGTAAGACAAAGCGCTGTATTTCAAGCAAACTATTGTTAAAGTGTATGATCTATCACTAAGCCTTTTCAATTTCTCTACTTTAGTACAAACATTTTGCTGTTTGTCTTTCTGGGAAAATATCCATAAATGGACATTGCTTTAATGGATTAAAAAGCTATGTTAATAACAATAACAGCTCAATTTAACAAGCAAATGTAAAAAAATTAAGCATAACATAAATTTTAAATTTATTTCCTGTATAATTTGCTTTGTATTATCTGTTGTTTTAATTACTAGACGAGGCCTTAGCGCTTATTTAGCAGGGTTACCGTACGTCTTTAGGTCGGTTGGTCGTTTCTCGAGATGACTTCTATTCCTTCGTTGATGTCTGAAATTGGTTGCAAGGATCATGCTTCCTTAGTAAACATTGCTAAGTTAGCAGAACAAGCTGAGCGCTTTGATGAAATGGCACTTGCAATGAAGACAATTGCTGAACTGGGAATCGAACTCAACAACGAGGAACGAAACCTACTTTCCGTAGCTTACAAAAATGTGGTCGGAGCCAAACGTTCATCTTGGAGAGTTATTTCAAGCATCGCTAAGAAGCAGGCTGGAACTCCTCTTGTTGATCAAGCCCATCTTTACCTTAAAAAAGTTGAGGAGGAGCTGACGGAGGTCTGCAATGAGGTGTTGGTATGTATTCCTCCATGAGTTCATTGATTCCTAGGGTTTGCTCTCAAAAAATCTGATTAAGGATGAAATTGGGGATGAGGCAAAAATTTTTTACTATAAGATGATGGGTGATTATTATCGCTATCTTGCGGAAGTTCAGGAAGGTGAATTGAACGAAAAATCGACGGAAGAAGCCGAGAAGGCCTACACCACAGCAACGAAGCTCGCAAAAGCATCGCTGGCCGTGACGCATCCTATTCGACTCGGATTAGCTCTTAACTTCTCTGTATTTTATTATGAAATTAAGAACGAGCCTGAGAATGCTTGCAAGCTCGCCAAAAATACCTTTGATGAAGCCATTGCCGAAGTTGAAAAGATTAGGGACGAGACCTACAAGGATAGCACGCTCATCATGCAGCTTCTTAGGGACAACCTGACGGTAGGTGTCGTTTTTAGTAATTTTATTTTCCTTAGCTGTGGACCTCCGAATGTGAACCAGACACCTAATTTGTTCCTTATCGACCTCAGTTGGAGTTATTGCGTTTGTTTGCCGTTATTTGGCTTCATTCTGTAAACCAGCACTGCTTCGTTTTATCTGAAGATAAACCCATTATAGGCTTATGCCTTTTCATGACTGTTTCTGCTTTGTTCTGTACATCCGTTTTCCTTTGAGTTTATTGCAGTTTTTACCGAGTGAAAATGCCTTCCCACTACACTTCACGTGAACGCCCACATCCATGTGTGTTTTCTCTTTTTAGTGTTTCAACGAACCATTGATTGAATTGTTGGTTTTTTGAAGTCGGTTATGTCGAAGTGGGTTCGGGCCGTTTTCTATTTCCTCCCTAGTTAGCTGGTGGATATTCCCATTATGGCGCGGTGTAGACCCATGTCCTTGGTGCTCTGGCACAGTTTTTATTTCACGCACATTGGATATCGCTCGACTTCTGTCATGGCCCTGTTCCCCTCGTAGTAGTCACCCTGAAAACATTTCGCACTCCTGCTAGAGTTAGTTAAGAAAAATTTCGCGATTCGCATCGCCGAGGCGCTTTCAAATTCGAACGTCTCCGGCGTGGCTCTTTGGGTCCGTTTTCAGCTTTGGTCTGAATTTTATGTTCTGTCTCTCCGCGGTTGCAATCTGACTCATGTCTGATGATAAACCTGACGTGGATACTTTATATGGTGTCCAGATTAGTATTAAAGGTGTCACTAGATAGCGATCGTAGGTATCCCACTAAGATTGAGCATTATTGGTTTTTTCATGTCTGAGGTGTGGTGTCAACCACGTGAACGTGTTGCGGCATTGTGATAAGTGCTATTTGTCTACATGTTTTAGGTTGTAGACAACATGAATGAAATGCCATAAAATAACTGTTAGTGAAACAAACGGAGCATGTGTAGGGTTGTTTGGACCCTCAATGCACTCCGTCTCAGTCCTTTAGCGACAAAACCGCAAGTTTTCGCAAAATCTGCTACGCGCAGATGTTCGACAAACAAAGGGAGTTATGATGTACAAATTGGTCCGGTGAGCGCAGATCGGCCCCCAATATTGTCAACCTTTAAGGTTGCTTGTTCCAGGAATGTGCAATGCGACAGCATTCTACCTCAACCATTCATGAGCAGTATGTGCGTACAGCGCCTGCTTTTGAAAATATGGTTCTGCTGAGCAATAATAAAGTCGTAAACTGGGTTGAGAGCGCACTAACGGTGTGGTACCTTATTCTTACCTCAATAACTGCAGTTATGGGATCCACATTTGGGCTCTGGACCTTTGCTATTTGACTAATACACCAGTATTCGAGTCGCGTAAAATTACGCGCCAGAAGCTCGTCGGTATCTTTTGACTTTGCCATCGCACTAAATCGCTGATCAGCACTCTGATTTTGAGAGCGCTTGCAACGCTACCTATAGCCCACCCACTCTGGTCATGCCAACACCTGTCTTGACTTCTTCTTCACCAAAAATTAACATACTAGGCGACAGTTGTCATTTCCTAATAGGTGCGCTCTTGTTCCATTCCAGGGGTGACTGCTAATGTAGTAAGCCAAAATAATTGGCTTCTGTCCCGTCTCTGTGTATCACAAAAGTTTGGCTTACCCGGGAAAGAAATCAGGCCACATTCTGAACATTTTTTGCTAACTTAGTGCTAGTGACTTAATCTTTAGCGATGTTCGATGGGTGCTAAGATCCGAAGTACTTTCCAGAACACGTCCATGCAGATTATTGACAAGATTAGGTTGATGTGTTGAGACTTCGTTCACTGGTATCATTACAATAAGTTGAGCACCTTTCGGGTTTATTGATGGCCATTTCCACAAATCAATGTCTGTTATTTCAAGTTCTGGGTAAAAAGCAACTGGCCACTCCATCAATAAGGCCTTTGTATGATTTTGCAAGTGGCTTACGTTCACTTGCATTCAAGACAAGCGCAGTGGCAGGATGGCTTGAAAAGTTATGGCCCAGTAATTGAAAATTGTTTGTGATGATTAACCCTATAAGCACTAGTATTGACACCTCTGGAGTTAGCACTCGTAGTAGTACTTTACCACGAAGTCCCAGTTATGACTTATTTAACACTACTGAAACATCGATCAGATCAGCTGAATACCTCATAACACACCACGAGGCTCAGTTGATGTGTCTAAATAGAGCTCTTTTTGATGATTTTCCTCTCACTGCCGACATTTGTTCTACGAATGCGTCACTATATCAGTGTTTTCATTACGTTCACAAAGTTACCGCGATGTAACCAAAAAAATTAATATCTCAGGATCGAAGTAGGCAGATTGTCAGGTTAATCAAGAGATTAATTGGTACAAACACTAATGGCTAGTCAACGTAAAAAGTCAATTGCGATCTCATAAGCTGTTTTTTTTTAAACTTAAACGTCGGGCCGCAATGGACAAAAGGCGTGGCTACTAATTCTAACATCTGCCACGTCTTGTTCGCAGACTGATTGGTCGACTGACCGACCAATCACTAGCACACCCCTTTTCGAGCTTTTAGCGCAGTTACCTTGTTAGACCCGCCATAAATCGTAGTGTATCTAGTCGATTCAACCAATGATCATGCGCTTGATTATTCCTGTCACTTGTTTTGCTTCACGAATCTCATCCAAGCGAGAGGGTTCTGCTTGAAGGGCTTTTGGGTTTTATTTGTGGTTGCCTTGGTGATATCTTACCTTGCTACGGGAATTTGGGTGTACCTACTTGTTAGCGTTTGTTATAATGCGCAGGAATTAAGCCAACTTATTTATGGCCCTCTGTTTGTGGCCCTTCATGCCGCATATGTTCTGCAATGTTAGCAATAATTTTGTTGTTGCACGTAAATTGCTGCAAATTTTGTTCGGAGAAAAAGGGCTAATTTTTGCAAAAAGTACTGGGGTCATTTTGGTCGAATCACCGTTGTATGGGTCAGTGATGCTTGAAAATCTACAGGGCCAACGCCAACTTCACCACAAACACCGTGTGGCTTGAAGACGACCTGGCAAGTGCTCTTGGTACACATCGAGGAACTTCTCCTATCATTGCTGTTGTTGTGAGTCGTGTATATTCACACCCCTTAATCCGGTTGCTCCACCTCCTACAACCGCGCGAATACCCAACTCCCCCCTCATTCACACGAATATTTATCTTGGAGTATCCCCACACCTAGGTGTCGATGTTGGCGCATGTATGACTCACACATCCGGGGTATAATTACACACGCGCAAACCCCACACACGACACAACGACACCAACGAGGCTGAGCTCTGAAGTAAACGGTTGTGTCCACATCCTCTTCGGTCCATTTCTTCATCGCGGGTATCAGGGAAACGTAATCGGTCTAGGGCTAACACCGTGGCCCCGGCGTGGTTCAAGACCATATGTTGGGGCCCATAACACTGTGAACTGTTTCAAGAGTCCGTTTGGTCACATTTTCCAATAGGCAAGATGCTTTAATCACCAAGGGGTGTAGGGATTATGCCAATCGAATTTCTGGTTTCATTGCTTTGAAACGGTCACAGGATAAATTACAAACATTCCATACCAAAAGAGCCTCAATCGGAGGGGTACCTACTTTCGACAAAGTCTTGGGTTCCGTCCCAAGCGACAAGCAAGTGTAACCCCATTTTAAATATCCCAACGCAATGAAACTGTCTTCTATAGAAAAATCTATTTTGTCATTATCTGTCCCTTATCGTCACTCTTTGAAATGCAGTGATCACCAAGTAGCCTAATTATCAGTTTTTTCGCAGTGACGACCAACCCAAGATAATCTTGGCACTTTCTTAATGACAACGGTTAGCTTCCTATGCAGCAGGCATGTAATTAGGGTTTGTCAGAAATTTCAAGCTCATAACTGTACAAAATCTTGTAATAAAGGAAAACTATCTTGACAAGTAGGACCATTGTTTTTTTCAAATAGGTTTTTGTGGTCAACTGCAATAACAGGTCTTCAAATAGGTTTGTTTACGATGTGACAAGTCTTAACATTTAAACACAGTTAAGTGCACCAGCCCATGAACCAATAAATTTTCACCTCTTTAGATTTATCGATTCAAGTCCTCAGTACAGATCACTTTACAGGTCTACTGGTTGGTGCTTTCATACCCAAGGTTATCTAGGGCCAGATCAATACCCTGCTGGCCTTGACGGCTGATGCGACGCTAGTTAAGGTTAGTCTAGAGTCAATAACGCGGCCAGCGATAAGTCAAAATTTCTTTACGTCCGACCATGAGAAGTGGATTTTACCACTGAAATTATAGGAAACAGAAACGGCTAACAGAGTTAGGGGACACTATTAACTAATAGTTACAAGCGAAAAATGGCAAATTGAAAGAGGGAGGTAGTATCACTAGTTATTCCTCCAGGAGACTTCCTCTTTTAATCGTAAACTTTGTTCTTCAAGCTGCTACTCAACAACTAATGATGTTTGACCTTGTACATGGCATCTTAGTTACAGGAACTAGACGGGGTGTGGAAATAGAATCAGCGCATAAACTTTTGACTTTATTGCAATGATGGGCACTGCATGTGCTCGTATCAGCATTTAATCGGTATCACATTCGGCGACGCAACAGTTTCCCTGGTGCCAATCCATTGGGCATTGTTCTCCTATGCATCGCGGAGATTTCTGTTGAGTGTGGGACTTGATCCTTTCCCCTATACGCTAAACCTGAAACTAAAACTAAAGCAATTAAACATCAATTGCCAGTCTTGCTTCCCAGCTTCAAACAGAATTTGTCCCGGCTCACGGTTTTGTTGGCTGTTGTACATCCTCTTTCGCCTCTTTGAAGTCATGTTTGCTATTAATAGAAACTTGTGTACAAGACCTGGTGTACCGTAGACCAGTTGTTATTGTCATTATTTACTCACAGAGGCCAAATACGATAAACAATCGCCAATGATGCACGCATAAAACTTGCTTCTGATGCAGTGCCGGCTCACTGAATGATCAAAGTTAAAGTGTCACGACCAGTAAACTTGGCAAAAGAACACCACTGACACTTGAAACATCTCCCTAAGACG